GGAATGTTTTCTGGGATTTGTGATTGCACCCTTGCCAGTCTTGCGAGTAGGTTTGCGAGAGACAGATGAAGTTTTCCCACCGGGTTCCTATTGGTACAGACGGGTGGCGGATGGCTACACAGGTCGCCAGGTGGACAATGGAGATTCGAAGTTTAGTGTCGTTGAGCCCATCGCTGAGCCTATCAGCATGGTTCACAGGATTTCCCACGAACTCGATGTTAATTGGACATTATGTCATTCATGAACCGGTGATCAGTCACTCAAGAGACTCAAATCAGTTCGCAAGGTGGTGTCCGCCGCAGATCAGTGGATGCGCGCGAGTTCAAACGTGGGCGGACAGTACAACGTCAAACTCTCTCATGTTTCGGCTCAAAACCTATACTCTTCTGAAGTATAAAGAGGGACTTCCTCAAAGGTAGAATTGTACCAGGCTACAAGTAGAGTCTCCCTTTCTTTTCTTCAGTTTTTCTTCGCCGGAGCTGGTCTTCACTTTATTCTTTTTCTTTCATTTTTCAATTCATCACTTCATCAAATGCATATCCACATCTGGTGGTCCCCGCTGGCGTTCTGTGTTGCTGTCTCTACAGGTCATCTACTCTTGGTACGTATGCTATCACTGTATTGATTGGACACTGTTTTCAAGTCACTAACAAAGTCAAAGGCATCTGACAGCATCGAAGAGCGCTCTATAAACCAAAGGCAGCTTGTCGTATCGAGAAGTAATCAAGACCATGGCCTCATCCCAGGAGAACTGGAGAAACGAGTGATCTCACGCGTCAAATCGACATTCAAATCTACCCCTGCACCAGTCAACAAGATACCCACTCCCAAAGCTACTTCAAAGGCCGCAACACCCGTTCGGAAGGTGGTTTCTGCAAAGGCCGCAGCGAAGCAACCTGCCAAGAAGGCTGCTACTCAGGGCAAGTCTAATGCTAGTCCTCGAAAGCCAGCACAGAGAAAGATGTCCGTCCCAAGGGCGGCAAAAGCTGCAGCCAACAGGAGATCTGGGGGCAAATCATCAGCCAAAGCCAAGAGACCCACTCAGAGATCTCGCAAGGGACCTTTGAACAAGAGCAATACCTCCAAACCACCTAATGCTCCGGCATACAAAGCTAGCAAGGGTGTCGCCGCCAAGTCTCGTAAATCTTCTGTCTCCAGGTCCAAACCCCGGAAATCGTCTGCCACCAACACAGCCAAATCAGTCTCCAAGCCCAAGCCAAAGAAAGTCAAGCAATTCAAAGCGAGTAAATCCCCTTCTAGAGCCCGCAAAGGTGGTACTGCCAAGCCCCGCAAGGCTACGGATAAGAAAGCTGCCGCCAAACCCGGCAAAAAGCTATCGCCCAAACGGCTGTCATCCAAAAAGCCATCGTTCAAGAAGGTTGCGTCAGTGTCTCGCAAGGCAGTTGCATCCAAGTCTTGCGCGGGCTCTGCTACCAAGGACAACAAGAAGGCTCCCTCGAAATCCAGAAAAGGAGCTCTCTCCAAGACTAATTCTCAATCTCGCAAAGGATCTAGGACCAAGGCCGGAAAGAGTGCTATCTCACGGGCTCGTAAATTCGCGTCGTCAAAGCCCCGCAAGGATGTTACCTCAAAATTTAAGAAGACGACCCTCTCGAAATCACACAAATCCGCAAACTCTAGACCTCGCAATGGGGTGGCACCCAAGGCAGGAAAGAAGTCTGTCTCGAAATTGCGCAAGGCAACCAGACCTAAGGCCAGAAAGAATTCTTCGTCCAAGTCTCATAAAACTTCTACGTCTAAGGCACGCAAAAATAGGCTGTCCAAATCTAGGAAGGTGGCTACCTCCAAGCCCGGTAGGAAAACTTCATCTGTCTCTCGCAAACCTACTCGCAAGACTGGCAAGGGTGCAATCACAAATCCCAGAAAACATTCC